CTTAGGGCTAGAAGAAACTAGTTGGGAGAGATATTATGACCTCTAAATATTCAAGTAGAAGATTGAAGAATTATGGCCAACAAGTCAACTTAGGAATTAACAGAATAAGTGGGGGAGGATGTCATAAGCCAACCTTGTACAAGGTCATGACCGGGCATAGGATGTCATAAACCACTCATGTATAGAACCATGATCGCATAAAGATGCCAAAGGGAAGCATAGATCTCATGTGCTAGGAAAAAATATCCCCATTTCAAACATTATAATGATTCTTGGTAGCATAGCTACAAAATCTCTTAAGCTCTTTAGGGGTGAGCAATCAACGTATTGTTGGACTACCTCACTGGCTAAAGCACATGCTAGACCACCTATCTAGGGCTACCCCTCTGGCCTCGATAATGGTGGGAAGACTCGATTCTCCTTTTGTACTCGTTGTACAATTTTCAATATTAATAAAACACTTTTTTCTATACAGGAAAGCCGATGGTCGCCTTGGTGTGCTCCCATTTTGCCTCGATATATCGTTGTATATTTTTGAGATTAACTTGTCACTTGTTGGTTGCCTATTCAAATATCAAACTATCTTTGGTTGACTTGTGTGGAAGCATCCATTCAAGTGCTGCATGATCTATTGCTTTTATTGAGAGAAAGCTTAGCCCATGACACCATACATGAAACAAGTTAAAATACATAAAACTACACCCATACTTTCATTTAAAGCAAGTTGCTTCCCTTTCATGTTCCTTGACACTAAACCTAGTATTACATTCCTCAGGGGAGTCCTAGAATTCATAGAACATTTTGAGCAAGGACAAGTTGGAAAAAACAAGGTCTGTACTTCCAACAAGAAGACTAGGGAGTACTTTTACGAGGGCATTGATATTTTGTTGAGAGAGGTTTCTGCTAGCATCAGCTGGGCTTTTTGGACTGCATGTTGGCAGTGCCTCCTCCCATCCATATAGTAGTTCACAACTGATGATTGACTTGAGCTCTGCAGCATCCTCTTTGTACGTCTTCTCATATTTATCAAACCTGGCATTCCATTCTGCTTTTGCAGCAGCATCAATCTTAATGCCAGCTTTCTCAAGATCCTTAACTCCATCCTTAATGGTCACGACAATCTGGTAACAGGTTTCATGCCTTGGCTAGTCGTTTCCCAAAGGACCAGTTCAGAGTCGTAACAGGTCCAATAAAATTTTCTTTTCATGGGTTGTTTAGACGTAATCTGAGTAGCTTTCTGGATACCATTATTGTTGATCCTAGAAGAATGGGCAATCAACTTCCTAAGAAGCAAATACACCAGTGATCTTACCACCCTGGTTGTACACATGAAAATGACCTTGTACTTAGATGTTTAAGATAGATGCTTCTTCAAAAGATGGTGAACAATCTGAAAGTGCAATTCATGTGGCCCAACAAGAAGGGATTGCCAAACCTTATCATGAGTTTCTACATAGCCCAGACCTATTGTATTAATGAGCGCATGTTCCCTTTCCCAAACAAGCTAAAATAGCAGACGAACTTGTTTTGGAACTACTGCAGAAAACAATGATTGCCTTTCACGGATCAAATAATCAACAATTTTCTCTACATCCTTCTAGAATCCCACGTCCAATAAATAGCCAACTTCATCAAGTATAATCATTTTCAGTCCCATCTTATGCATGGGTAAGATAGACTTGTTCTCAACGTGATCCAGCAACCTCCTAGTTGTTGCAACAATTAATTGGCATGGGTTTGATTCAGTCCGTTTTTATCAAGAAACGCTTTCCTCTAACTAGAGTCTAAACACCTATCCCATCATGATACTTTAGCAGAGCATTTGCTTCAGCAGCTAGCTGACTTAAAAGTTCTCTTGTGGGGCACAAAATATTGGAGGCATCCGCTGAAGAGCTTTAGTACTGACCACCTTCAAAACTGTTTCGACTTCCGTTAACAGAAAAGCTGCAGTTTTTCCTGTGCCAATTTTAGCCTTGAATAAAGCATCTTTGCTCTCAAGGCAAACAAAAAGAGTTGCCTCCTGTACTCGAGTCATTTGAAAATATCCAGCCACAAAAAGTGCTTTGACTGTCAATGGTTGGCCAATAGCTACAATCTATGTCTTCAAGCTATCACCCTTCTCAGTTGAATTTTTCAACATGACTATCAGAATGCGGACAATTACAGCAACAAAATCAGTGAAAAAGGCGAGGGTATGCTTCACATAGTTTAGGACCTCCAGGTCACCCAAGTGTGTATTTTCAGTTATGTCTTGTGGGTTCACTCCATGTAGCCCACAAACACTAAGAGCTCACAGTAGATGTCAGTCATAAAAAGGGTCATGGAACCACTAAAGATAGAAGAAGCAAAATACAATTAGAGAAGTATGGACACAATGAATGAAAGCAAGCCACCAAAATAAAGGTACTCTCTTTGCCTTGCTAACATAGCAGCTCTTGAAAAACATACAAAAGCCAACGCTATTCCTACAAATGCAGCTAGCAAAACACTTGGGTCCATCTGAATAGCCAAGTCAATCAGAGGACCAACTAAAGCCCTTTCAAACATTGCACACGTCATTAGAAGGGAACCCCTGTTTTGCTCTTGATAAGGAAGAGTGGAGATGAGCCAAATTATGAACTTTCAACGTATGCAAGTGTTATGAGGTAACCCCTAACACTCCACCATATATGAAGATAAGCCCCAACAACAAAGACAATCAGTGCACCACATAGGGTCAAATAAGCATTTGCTAAATCAACGGCAGTGTGCAGAAGTAAGCAGAAGGTGTACACCCTTCTGGCCTTTAGCCTTTTCAAAGGGTGATGTTGCTCGATCAAGTTTGTCTTCCTTCACAAGTGATGATCCAACTGAATATCCTAGAGTCTTGTGGAATGTAAAGATCATTCCTCCACTCAATATGAGAATATTAACTTTGGTCAAGGGAAATTCAATCACTTCAACCGTAGTTGATACCTCCAAAGTCCAAACCACCAGTAATTGCAGCAAATGGCTTCTTAGGAATTACCACAGCTCCAACAGTATAGCCAAGTTTCTCTGCATAAGAAAAACAGCAACTTCTAGTGCAATAATACCAATACCTTTGCTCTTAAATCTCATTACCGAAAGCCTAAACCGATAAGGATCAATGACATCAACAAGCTTATTTCCAATAACAACCTTCCCACTTACATTAACAGGCTTCAACAAGAAAGGTCTAACACAATCTCTATTATCTACCACCCCAACAGTCTTAAACCTATTCTTTTCAACAAAATGCTGTATATTCTTTAACATTAAAGATCCAGAAATTGAACGTCTAGTATATTCAATATCTACCTTAGACGCATGAAATATTTGAGACACTAACATGGTAGACAAGGTATTTGTGGAAATGTATTCAAAGGAAGAGAAAGGTTACTAAAGGCTGCCATGGAGACGTTTTGTTCAATTTGCTGGTTTTCATTCATTTGGACTCGTACTTACTAGCCTTTTCCTTAGCGAGTAAATCATCGATTCTTGTAGATATATGGTTATGTTTAGTATGAAAACTTCCCAGCTCACTTCGAATATCCTCTTGTAATCGATCCCACGCACTCTCCCATTTTGATTGCAAACGCGCCAGTCCTTCTCGCTGCAGAGTGACGACAACCTACGATTTGATCTTCCCAGCATCAACCATGGCTAAGACCGAGACTTTGATACCAATTGATATAAGCCAAATTTGTTAAAAGGAATGGACAGACAGAAGAACAGAAACAGAGGGAGAATGAACAGAAAATAGAGGAAAAATATAGAATTTACAGAAAAAAGAAAAGATTGTTTTTCGATCTCATAATGGAATGTAATGTTCACTACCCAACTCCTCTTTACGCCAATTCAACAATCAATGACAGCTGTATTCCGAGAATCTCGGACATACAGTACTCTGACACTTTTCTCCATTTTTCCTAAGTTAAAGGCCTTGGGGAAATGCCATACATGACAAACTTAAAATAGATAAAACTACACCCATACTTCTATTTAAAGCTCAATAACATCTGTTCCAATATTCAGCCCACAACATGCCCCACCACAACTCTTTGGTTATTTAAGTTTTGGCATTGTTATCTTGTGTATGTAAAGAATTTTTTGTGATTTGAAAATCATAAAAAAATTAAAGCTTCTGATTCAAAGACTCAAGACCAATATTTATAAAAAAAAAAAGAAGAAAAAACTATAGAATTTTAATTTAAAGTTATAATAACAAAAATTATTTAGTCAATTGTTTTAATTAGTATGTTCTGCAATTTTAGACATAAAGTTATAATACATAAAGGCATCTTTTGGCTTATAATATTTTGGACATTTTTGTTTTCTTTTTATAGAAGGATGAATAGTGTTTCATGAGCGTTATGCCCTTCTACTCAGTCCATACTTTTTGCTACTTTTTGGTACATATTTTAGATGCTTTGTGCACCTTGAATAACAAATTATAATCATGCCATTGCCGTGGCAAGTTTACTAATTTAGTAAGATATTTTTTTAATAAGATGGTCAAAAGTATTTTCAAGTTTTGCCTGAATTTAATATTCTCTTTGGATGATTTCATGAATGCCTTCTCTTAAATGGATTAGTGCATTTAAAATATTAGTTCTAAAAAAATGGAACCATCATCAGTTTGTTGTAAATGGATTTGGAGTTGGGTTTTATTGATGATTTATGTTATACTATTTTATGGAGAAAGTAATTTTAATCTAAAAACTAAAAAGTAGGAATAATTAATTGGTCTGAGTTTTATGAAAAAAAATTATTAATCACACTTGTATTTTAATAAGAAAAAAAAAGAGTAATTTATTAAGGAAACAAAAGGAAAAAGAAATAAGAAACAACAGCCATGTAAGCATTAGATTGTCCACATGTGAGGTTTTATCAAGGACACCCAAGCAAAGTGAAGTAAAAAGTCCCCAGTGTTTGAGTTTGAAGAGAACAAAATGGCAAGCTAAGTAAATAAATGAGAGTTTGAATCTACTCGCTGCTGCTGCTCCATTTTTTCAATTACCAAAATAACCTTCGTAATTCAATTTTCTTAAGCATACCAACAAAACACCCAAATTACAGCACACAAAGAGACTAGAGATTCAGAGCCGAAGCCAATCAACCCTGTATCTCTTCAAAGCTTTTTCTCTTTTCTCTTTATTTCTCAACCATGCTATTGAGAAGGAACATAACCTTAATCTCTTCAAATCTGTTTATTTATTGATCTGGGTTGTAATGCTCTTTCTTTCTGCAGATCATAGTTGGTTTCCTTTTAATGTTTTTAATCGTTGAAGTTTGAAACTTTCATTCCTCTTTTGTTATTTTAAATTTTTTACTTTCTCAGATAAACTAACACTGAAAAGAAACAAAGAGAAAAACAAAAACCATGTGGGTTTTGCTGTTTTTTTAGTAAGTTTGCTTGGTTTTAACAGATTCGAAGTAATGGGTTTCTTGTTAAAGATGCATATTGACTTTGGTTCATTTCAGGTTTGTTCCACTTCTGTCTCTTATTCGGTTTTTTTAATTGAAATATTGAGTTTTTGGTTCTGTTTCTTTTAAGTTAGTTCCTTTCTGTTGAATTCATCTCTCATGAAATTTAACTGCTTTTTGTTGGATCTTGACTGAATGAGCTAGGAAAGATTGTCAATTGCTTTCACAGTTTAGGTTTCTTTCTTTTTTTTTTCTTTTTCCTTTCTGATTGTTTGATACTTTATAATTAGTTTTTAGGGTTCTTCGGTTTTTTAATTTACACTGTTTGGTAGTAGTGAAAGAGGAAGAAAAGGGCCTTTTTTTTTTTTTCATTTGGTATGAGGGGAATAAGACTAGGGAAGGAAAATGAATGGATTTGCAAATTTTCTTTTCCTCCAAATCCAGTCCTTCCTACCTAACATAGTGCTAGTATATTGGTGTTCTCTTTGCTCCTAAGTGTGAGTTCATGTAAATTTCAATACTTTGTATCAATCATTTTAAGGCTGTTCACTCTTTTCCTAGTTCATGCTTTGATTTGATATTCACAGTTGTAAATTCACTTTATTCCCAATTGGATGCAGTCGAAATGTTGGAAAAAATGGTCTATTGCAATGTTCAGACCTGGATATTTTACAACTTGAAAAGCTAAAGTACATTTCTCAGTTCTAACAGAATTATAAACTCCACTCAATCTAGTGTACTGTCCATAGAATGTGGTAACTTGAGTTTTTATTTATTTATTTATTTTTGTAACCCGCTTTTCTCATGGAAATTAACCAGGATTATATATCCTCAGATGTCCTATCTGCAGCTCTTAAAACCCTTGTTTTGATGTATTTTGAAAATTGAATCAACCCTCTCATTAGTTTAACTAGACAATGGCATAATTCTAACTATAATGATTGTCTAGCTGTGTAAGTATTTGAGAGTCTGTAATGTTCATTTATGTGTGCTAGAGAAAATTTTTCTGTGCCATATCGCTTAATGTGTGCTTGTCTTCATCAAGTTTCTCAATTGAACTTGAAAGTCTTTATCTATAAATTCGTCTACGTGAACTGGCTAAGTTTTCTTTTGATAATTCCATTAGCCATGATACCTTTCTTTTATCACCTCAGTCCACATCTCCTTTGCTTTTTAGAATGCCATGATATTACCCTTTTTTTCTTAATACTGAGCTGCATATGTATTGACTTTAATTGTGTTCTTTGTTAAAAATTACTGAAATCTGTTATTGTTTCTCTAACCAAACTCTTTTATCCGTGGATGTTTGGCAGATTTCAACTTTATTTTTCTAAGAAGTTTTCATTAGTTGGGTTTAAGATTATGGGTAGAGGTAGAGGAAAGGGAAAGAAGTTGACTGTTAGCAACAATGAGGATGCTGGAAGTGGTGAAGAAGAGAAAATTCCTGCACAAAAGAGAAGAGGAAGGCCACAAAAACCATTAAAAGACGAAATTGATGAAGAAGAAGAAATTGAAAAAATAAAAGAGGAGGATGGTGGGAATGGAAAAGCTGGTATCACAAGCAAAGAGAGAAAAAGTCCCTCTGCTGCAGAGAATGGAAAAAAGAGAAAACGTAATTCACAGGTAAAAGAGAAGCCTGATTCAGTCAAAGAAGAGAATGGCATTGGCACCAGATCAAGCACTGATGACTCATCAAAATCTAATGGTTTTCGGCAAAATGGGAGTAGGCGGAAAAGCAAGCCACGTAGAGCAGCTGAAGCAGGTGTGGAATGCAAGTGAGATCGTGGTGCTTATTGCCATAGGTCTCTTCTTTTTCACTTTATCAATACACTATGAGATAGGAAGTGAGGCCTAGTAAATCTCTAGTCAATATTGCATTTCGGTAATTGTTTCTTTTGATTTTTGGAGATTCCTTATCTTTAATTCCTTTTTTATTTTATTTGGTTTTGGATTTTGTAACTGATTCTGCTGGTTGTAATTTTTTATAATGCTATTATATTCCATATCATCGCTGGATTCTTGTAATATATCATCTGCATAACAATGCCATTTTCTTTTTTACACTTTATTTGCACAGTTGTTTGGTGGCGGCTGTAATACCAGGTAGGTACTTACTATATACTGCAACTAAAGTATGACTTTTAAATCTTGTCTTCACTCCATTTTCAAAATTTCTAGGGTTACATAGCTTCCCCTGTTTTATCCTAAATGCATCATTTTGAGGTCAATTTTTTTTTATCACTTGATTATCATTTGTACTAATGGATAATATTACAAATAATCTTTAAACTATAGCAAAATATTTGTGATATTTGAATTTTAAAAATTTTTAATATAACACTTGAACTATGAATCGTTAATTAAAGTAATATTTGAAGGATTATTTATTAGTCATGTGTTATCATTAAGAGTTAATCACATTAGAATAAATATATATTAATTAATAAATTTATAGTTTAAGTATCATATTAAATATTTTAATAAAGTTCATAGACCTTTTATAATGTTAAACCGTCATACTTTCTCTCATAAACATTCAGCTATGTTTCTTACTGGTTTTTTCGCTGGTGGATAGACAGTTTCTTAATTTTCTCCTCATCGGGTCAGAGGAGAACTGAGGAAGTCACATTTTAGTTAATACCAAGTGACAGGTTCTCGAATATGTATCAACTAAACTCGGCATGATAATTTGGTTAGAACATGTCAAAACAGATCAAGTGCTCACTAAGTTATTCACAAAGAGGGGTTGCCTTGTATGAAAATCTTCTACTCTATGTTCAATGAATTTTGGCTGCATTTGGTAGGACTGTGATGACTTTGAGTTCTGTCTGAAAGGTAGGACCATAGCTTCTTCGAGTTTCTTGAGGCCAATGCTTTGAATCCGCCAAGGGTTGAGACTAGAAAGAGACCTCAAATACGTTTGTGGATGCCTTGTTTCTTTTCTTTTTTTTTTTGTGGTTTATTAATACAAGGCTGTAGATTTTGTCACCGAGTTAGAGAATTGGTCTGATATTTTCTCTTAAACTCACTAATTTTCTTCGAATCACTCATCTTTTACCTGTAGAGTTTTGAAAAATAATAGTTTTTCTGCTTTTTATCTCAATTTTGCTTATTTTTCATAACATTTAAAGTGACAAGATGATGTTCAATTAAAGGCTCTTCATGAATTTTAAAATTTTGAGTTGGTAGGGTTGATCCAATTATTCTCTGCTGCCAATGGTCCTAAAGATCCACTAATTAAATTATTTGTTGCAGTTAGACCAGTCGGCAGGCGATGAAATGACAAGCTGCACGCTAGAATGAATGTTTTTTGGAATTTGGACTTTGTTTTAAATAGTATAACATCACAAATAAATTTAAACTATAATAAAATATTTAATATAGTATTTAAACTTAAAAAACTTTTAACGTGAGAATTGAAATATGAATTTATTAATTAATACAAAATTCATATGTAACATCATTAATTTTAAATAATAAAGATATTGACATATAATTTTCATTTTAATTAGCAATTTGTTAATTATATATCATATTCAAAATTTTTTAAATTTAGATATCAATAATTTATTATAATTTAGAGATTATTTGTGACTTTATTCCCTTTAAATATAATGGTATGACATAAATATAGGCAATTGCTCTGCACAACGTATATTTTACAGATACATATGAATATATATATATATATATATATATAGATTATCTTTAATCGGTTAGGCTTGCACCTTTGTTTGTTGGAAGATGAGAAGTTCATAGATGCCTGATATATACTTCCATGATAATTTTCTACATTGTCGTGGAAAATGCTTTAAACCTTGACCACTGTGAACGGGCAAGGTATGTAAAACTGGATATGTAGGGAACTTACTTTGACCATTTGAGGTAAGCAGCATGCTGATGAAAGAAATCTACTTGTTACTTGACCATTGAGAACACTGGTTTTAAATCTCTGTTTGTATTGCGTTCAGAAGCAATATTTTCTACCCAATGGTCATGAGTGAAGCTAGCCGTCGCTCATCAGCTGTATGTACTTGCCTTTGAAAGCAATTTTACAAAATGGATTAATGTCAGTTTAAAATCAGTGGATCAGTAATTGGTAGTGTTTTGATTTATTTAATTTCCTTTTGCCCATATATGCAGCTGCAGCGTGAAACAAGGTTGAAGAACTTTGTTTTGCTTCAATCTGAGGCAAGGTACTTTGCAATTAAAATGCTGATAAAATTTCCATTTCGAATCTTTAAATCAGGTGGCTTTCAGATTTCTTAACACAGACTACACCTAGCATATATTACGTTGTTTTAGTTAAATTTGGTAGCTGTCTGCTTGACTTTAAGGGTCTTTTTCAACTTTTCTAGATATATTTATATTTTTTTAATTTTAATCTATCATTAAATCTCATTATCTTTATATTTATCTTACTGAAAAAAATATTATGCATAATCTTTCAAACTCAAAGCCTTCAAACTTAATTCTAATTGATTCAAAATTCAGTCTACCCTACCCTAGATCTAAATTTTATAACTTTGCTCCATATTCAAATTTTCTGTTGATGTTTCAGTATTAAAAATATTGTTAAAATGATTCAGCTGTCATACTTGAATGCATGCAAGCCATGACATGCTTTTGATGCTGTCTGCCATTGACATTTGCAGGTTTCTGCCTATGCAAGCTGATGTGTTTTTATCATCCCAACATGTTGGACCATTTATATCCAACCACATTGAATAGCTTATAAGTAGCTCACGCCAATATCCAATTTCATAGAGATGTTTTTACGTATAACCCATATAAAAATTATCATGTAGTTAACTAAATAAATAATATTACTAGTAAAAAATGATGAATAAATTAAAATTGTACTAAAAATACTATCATTAGAGCAAAAAAAATTCTGTTAACTTTAATTTTTATAATAAATATTATGAATAACTTTAAGACCTATATTTGTTCTATGGTAAGTTAGAAATATAATATAGATATACATAATTATTTGAATAAATATAAATAAAGGATGATATAAATTATACTCTTTATTATTAATAATTGAATGGATATTTTTTAATGAAATAATTTTATTTTTAATATTGTATTTTGAATGATAATTTTATTTCACAATTACGTTGTTATAATTCAAAGAATCTAACAACATAAACATTAATCATATACCAATAGAAATAAATGAAAATAAAAATTTTTAATATAATATATTCAAGGCTAAAATAAATAAAAAAAACCTTTAAACTTTATAACTTTAATTAAATAAATCATTATACTTTTATTGCATTTAAATATGTCATTAATTTTTAATTTGCACCAAATAAGCTTTTAACATTTAATTTGTATCTCAATAAATTCTTAAATTTTAATTCATACATGAATAAGCCGTAACATAAATAATTTTTTCACTTGAAATAAAAGTTTATTTGAATACAAATTAAAGTACAATGGTTCATTTTGATACAATAAAAATATAAAAATTTATTTTAAAAAATTTAAATAATTTAAAAAATATTTTAATATTGCAATCTATATTCAATTAAATAAGATAACATTGGATCTCGTAATATATCTAAAATGTTTACTTATTTTATAAGAAGTACTATAATACGTCGAAATCATAATATAGAAATAAACTTTTGTGGAGTTTAATTGGATATATCAACATCAATAGTATGATTAAAATGAATAAAAATAAAAATAAAAAATTTAGTTGTTTTATCATATGTTGATATTAGCATATATTTAAATACATAATAAAATATAAATATTTTCCAAAATTAGAATATTCATATTTTCATAAATCTAAAGGATATTACTATTTTCTTTCTTGCATAGTGTATTAAAGTTCAAATTAGTAGTAAATTCTTTTGACTATGATGATGAAAAGAAAAAAAAATTGGTAATTAACGTTAAATGAATTTTTAGATAAAAAATATGTATCATATTATATAACTTTAAAACAAAGAAAACATATAATTCGTATTGTGTATTTTATTATATTTTTTCAACATTTGGAATCATGAAAAAAAAACAATTTACTTAAATTTTTTTTTTGTAAGAAAAATCCGGGGATAGATAAGTTGCTCAGTCCCTCAGATCAGGGCAAGATGTGACATACTTGACAACTTAAGACAAGTAATTGCAGGTCATGCATTCAAGATGATCCTAACAAATGAGTACCGGTAGGACTCGAACATAAGACCTCTTCATCGAAAAAGACGAACCTAACCGATTAAACTAACCACTTATTGATAATTTACTTAAATAATTATATATAAATATTTCTAAAATTTTGTTAAAAGAATTGCTATGTCAACAATAAATTATCTCTCAAATGTCATTCAAATACCTATTTAAGTACAACTTTAATAGTATAAGTTTATTGGTTTTACAATATTTTTCGTTCTTTAAATGATGTTGGTTGGCAAATTTTTTTTTTTTTGAAAATTAACTTTTTATTATCTGATTATTTGATTTCATTCACAATTTTTTCCTCACACTAAAATCTTACAATCCCAATAATATTAGAAAAAGAGAAAATAGGGAATAAAAAATTTTCATCTCCGTAACACTATAAGAAAATAGAAGATTAGTGACAGTTTTATTGCGGCATTTTACTTACAAACGCCATTAGCTTCCTTGTTTTTATAAAACTTAAGGTGTTTATTATCAAAACACCACTAAATATTTAAATAGCAGTGTTGTTACTTATAAACATTACCTAAGACTTGATATCAGCGGCGTTTATCGAATAAAATGTCTTGAATAATTTTATCTTACAAATTTGAGTGAATACTAAAGGTGTTTTTGGCAAAAAATGACTTAAATAATGTAATTAAAAAAATGGATAGGGAATTACTAAAGGTGTTTTTGGCAGACAATGCCTTGAATAATCCCCTCATAAAAAAATATATGCGATTATTAAAAGCATTTTCAACAAGAAACACCTTTAATAATTTGATGAAAAAATTTCATAAGATTATTGAAGACATTTTTTGTCAAAAACACCTTCAATAAATATCCTATCAAAATTTTAAGATCATACGGATGTTAATCATAA